TGGTTGTTCTGTAACGAACACAAAAACTTGAACTACACAAGCCCCAGTGTTACATAAACTAATGTGTGGACTTCTACAGCCGTGGTTTTCTGTAACGAACACAAAAACTTGAACTACACAAGCCCCAGTGTTACATAAACTAATGTGTGGACTTGTGGTACAGCCGTGGTTGTTCTGTAACGAACACAAAAACTTGAACTACACAAGCCCCAGTGTTACATAAACTAATGTGTGGACTTCTGGTACAGCCGTGGTTGTTCTGTAACGAACACAGAAACTTGAACTACACATACCCCAGTGTTACATAAACTAATGTGTGGACTTGTGGTACAGCCGTGGTTGTTCTGTAACGAACACAAAAACTTGAACTACACAAGCCCAGTGTTACATAAACTAATGTGTGGACTTCTGGTACAGCCGTGGTTGTTCTGTAACGAACACAGAAACTTGAACTACACAAGCCCCAGTGTTACATAAACTAATGTGTGAACTTCTGTTACAGCCGTGGTTGTTCTGTAACGAACACAGAAACTTGAACTACACAAGCCCCAGTGTTACATAAACTAATGTGTGAACTTGTGGTACCGTTGTGGTTGTTCAGTAACAACTACAGAAACTTGAACTTGATAAATGTACTTATTAAAATCATTATATTATGATCAACACATTGATAATCCGGTGTGTTTGTTTGTACATAAATAACCTTAAACACTGTATGACACATAATAAAAATTCTTAATACTTCTAATCCGTTCGTACCTTATGAGTTTCAATGTAATCCTGGTATTATGGATTCCTGAGTAGCGAACATACGTGTAAGATGACTTAAATGTGTTTGCTAGTGTGTTTTATAAGCACATTGCTGTATACTTCTAATCCGTTCGTACCTTATGAGTTTCAATGTAATCCTGGTATTATGGATTCCTGAGTAGCGAACATACGTGTAAGATGACTTAAATGTGTTTGCTAGTGTGTTTTATAAGCACATTGCTGTACGTTCTGATGTTGTTTGGATCACGGTGTACTCTCGCTACCACAAATAGTTTGGAAATAAATTTTAAAAACATGTATTTTTATCTTCAAATCCATCATGTTGTTATGTGTTAGTTTTCTTTGCAGTTTTTACATTGAAAACTTATATATTCAATTATATCGCCCCTCTTGTTTAAATTCCTATCTGTAATATTCATTTTTCTTTTCAGTAGGCTCAAAGTTAAGACTAATTTTTTCAATCTTTAGATATAACATACAAAGCTTTACTTATTTATAACATGAATATTTATTGAGAAACTTTCATTGTTACATAATACTTTGGATAAGTGAAGGAAATAACAACAACAAGGAAGAAAAAACTAAACATTTTTTAACATCTAGCGAAAAAACTTCAATGACAAATGATAAAGAATTTATTATTTAAGTTATTTTTTTATTTTTTTGCACTCACAAGAACTTCTGTAGAAAATTCTCTAATTGTGTTGATCCGCCTTCTCAACTTCTGATGAAAGCGATCTTTTTATATTTCCGAAAAATACACAGAGTGCGCATGTCCAAGATACGCACTTCGTTCCACATTATTTGCCAACGAAATATCTGTTTTATTTTTCGTTTTTTGTCGGAATAATTCATGATTAATTTAGATAAAACCGTGTTGAATATTTGATGTTACTTTTGATTAACATTCACTCAATAATCACAACAAAAAACGTAAAAAATGAATATATATATACTTGCCAAGAGTTTTTGGAAAAAGTGAAAATATTTAGTCAAAATTATTTTGTGGCACATAGGAGTGACGTCACTCGAAATATAGCAACCACTTGTTACTTGAGCTGGTTTTTCATGACGATCATGTTCGCTAGGGCTTGTCCACTGATAACACAGGCCTGCTAATTTAAACTTCACAAAAGTTGTTTTGGTTTTAATAACAGATTCTCCACAATTCAGCAACGTAGATTTCAAAAATAATATTGATTTTATTCCAGTCACGTGAGGATTTTTTGGAGTCTGGATAGACAAAAAAAACAACTCTCAATTTACAATTTCGTTTACCACAGTTATTATGTTTGTTAACAAAAAGTCAAACAAACTGAAGAAAGGGGAAGAACACTGATGTCAAACGAATATACATCCTCATTCATCCTGATTTTTTGGGGATGAAATCTACGTCTTTTAGTCTCAAAACTGCGTGTTCTGATCTTTCTTTTATGTATTGCGTTATGACGTTTTGGGTAAAGCCTGTACGTGATGGAGAAAAATGGATATAATTTTTCGGATTCAGCGTACAGGAATTAAAGTAGAACATGTAAAAATTTCAAGACAATAAAACCATCGCGGGCCTGTGTAATCAGAAGCATATGCGGCTTAACTTAACTAATATCTTGTTGTCGTTTTTTGTCAAACAAGTTCTATTTTAAAATAGACCAGTAAAGAAAAAAACTTAATACAAAGACACGAGGAAATGTAAACGGTGGCGTTAAGAAAACCTAACTTAAGACGTTTATCACCATCCTCTGAGTGAAAATAGGTGTCCTCACCATCACCACCAGCTT